AGGAAAATACTATTAGGAAAATGTTGACTCACCGGGATGTTTCTTCTATGCGGTCGAGCACTATAACTGCGACTTCTGGAACACTCCGGAGAGAGGCGGTGCGCGACTATATCTCACACGAGGTGAGGCGGGTTTCCTGGAGCTCGACTGCTTCCAGGCTAAAGCGGTTTCTACTAGTGATGTGTTTCCAACGACGAGCGCGGCGGGAAGAGAGCTCTTTAGGACACTATTATCCTAGGCGGTGTGGTTTCAACGGCGAGCGCGGCGGGAAGAGGCCACGCGTCGGTCGCGCGTGTCTTATATATCCTCGGTTCCGATGATTACGTGATGTTCTAGAATCATCTTCTTTCCCCTCCCACCCCACCACCCCGATGTGTCGATAGGAGGGTACGAATGATATCGTTTTGGAAAGGGATAACCGATTTGGCAGCCTACCGTCAAATAAAATAAATACGAATGGTTTTCCGCGCAACCAACAATCTATTTTTTAAACACTACGGTAAGGTACATATCATTGAAATGACGTCAAGTAAAAAAGTTAATACTGGTTATTTTTTTATATTTTGCTTATACACGTTGTAATGAAATATAGATAACTTCGTAATTCTTCGGATTTACGTAAAAGGTTATTTTAAATCGTGCGAGTACGCTTGTGCAAAATTATTGAGGAATGATTAATGTGAAACGTCAAAAGGTATTTCTTAGATCTGGTTGACTATAATATATCTATCAAATGTTATTCTCTCGGTTGGAGTTGGATTGGCCCTTGTTATACTAATGTGCCCAATTTTGCACCTCTTCAACGTTCTGTATGAAAAATTCACAACTAAAAAAAAATTGAAATCGAGTTGCGAGTGAAGGAAATGAATTTTCAGAGACATGTTCTTCATCATCTTCATCAACATGAACTTCGACTTTGAATTTGAATTTCTTTAAATTCCGTGTTAGTCATAAATTTTCACTGGAACAACCAGGAGATTCTGGAATTTGCTGATTGTCTGAACTGTAGACGGGTTTAGTAACCGAAGGAACATATATAATTTTATCTTTGTTCTTGTGGTTAAAACCAGATGTGTTTGTAAGACAAAAGTAATAATCATTTTCGTGGTTGGACGGTTCTCTCCATAACATTTGCATATTAAAATTCTAAGAGCTGTTTCCACCTGTGGCCTAGGCCTTAGTGTTCTTCTACGTCTTTCACAAAATACATGGGGAGCCCATATTTTGTCCAGGTGAGAAATGTATATTTTAAAATAATAAAAAATATGCTTCTTTGAGTGATTCCGTTATGGGATATCCTTTCTATAATAAGTTCACCACAAATGTCAGAATCACTGTCTGTCTGTACTTTACACATCTTTTTTGACATTTTAAAAACAAATATTTATTTCACTGAACACTAGACTGCATCAAAATTTTAGAATGAATTCAGAAGCTACTTGAGATTAACCTGAAAGTAAAATGTGGTGACAACTAGTCTTTGACGCCATAAAAATAAAAAATAAAAAACATATTATTACGTTTAGTTACTGTAACTAAATAAAATGATATAAAATTTACTGGAAGAACATTGACGATAGAAGCATGATAGATTTCATAATTGTGGATGAAAGATTGAGGGGCGCAGTGGTGGATACGAGGGTTTACCGGGGTTCTAACGTAGGAACGCATCATTATTTAGTTTTATGCCTAATTAATGGTCTATTCAGGCGTTGGCGCCATCGGTCGTCTGTGTCTACCACTGTGTTACAGCGTATTAGAACAGAAAGGTTACAAGATGAAAGTGATAAAAACAAGTTTTTGGATGTATTATGTATGAAGGAGTTAGACTTGGAGAATATATGGCAAAATGTAAAGAAAGGTTTAGTGGATGCAGCTACCGAAGTATGTGGTGTTAGTAAGAGAAAGAATGAAAGGAAAAATAATACGTTACGGTGGGATGATGAGATACGTATGGAAGTTGAAACAAAGAAGAGAGCATGGCAAGATTTACTAGCAACAAAGGCTGGTAATTCTAGCGGTACGAATGATGATATTGAAAGAAAAAGGCAGTCTTTAGACATCTTAATAAGAGAGTAAAAGAAGTAGTTGAAAGAAAAAAGCAAGAAAGAACGGATAAGAATGATAGAAGAATATCGGATAACTTCCAGGCAAATATTAAAATGTTCTGGAAACTTGTAAGAACTGCCAGGGGACATTCAAAACAGCCTATGATGAATGCTATAAGAGACGAGAATGGCTATATTCTGAATGATGAAGTTTTGAGTTTAAAGAGATGGAAGGAATATTTTGAAGCGTGAAGCGTGTTTATGAGTGAGGAGACAACGTGTGTAATAAGTGAATAACGAGAAGAGGAAAGAGGTAGCGAGATAAGTATAGATGAAATAATGAAAGCAATGAAAAGTATGAAACAGGTAAGGCTGCCGGGATTTCACTCGAAATGCTAAGGGCTGGAGAGGAAGTGGTGGCAGGCCTGCTGCACACCTTGTTTAATTTATGCTGGGAACTGAAGCGGGTACCGGTAGACTGGTGCAAAGCCGTGATAGTCCCAGTATATAAAGGAAGAGGGTCGCAGCAGGACTGTAAAAACTACCGTGTCATCAGCCTTCTTAGCATTGTGGGAAAACTGTATGCTAAGGTACTGATTGAAAGGGGCATGAAAGAAACTGATGGAAAAATTTGGGATGTACAAGCGGGATTTAGAAAGGGAATGGGATGTACAGATCAAGTCTTTTCCATGCGCATGATCGCGGAGAAGTTTCTGGCCAAAAACCAAAAGGTCTTTTGTGCGTTCATGGACTTGGAAAAGGCCTATGACAGAGTGGATAGGGATGTGCTATGGCAAACACTGAACTCATTTGGGTTGAGCGCTGGCTTGATACAGGCATTGGAGTCTCTTTATAGGGACTCTAGTGCTTGTGTTAGGATCAACGGGGTCTCCTCGGACTGGTTTGACATCCATAAAGGTGTCAGACAGGGCTGTGTGGCTTCCCCGTGGCTGTTCAACCTATTTATGGACAGTTGTTTGCAAAATTTGAAAGTTGAAGAATGCGGATTAAGAATGGGTGAGTTAACCGTCAAATGCCTTTTGTACGCCGATGATCAAGTTATTCTTGCGTCGTCGGCGGCCGAGTTGCAAATGATGGTTACATTAATGAACGGATCATTAAAAGAAAGGGGCATGAAAGTGAACGCAAGTAAGACGAAGGTTATGGTTTTTGAAAGAGAAGAAAGTAAAACGATTTGTGAAATAAGAATAGAAAGGGAGTTGATCGAGCAAGTAGATGAGTTTGTATATTTGGGCTGCGTATTTAGCAGGGATGGGAGATATGATAAGGATATAGAACGACGAGTGAATGCGGGAAATAGAGTAAATGGGGCCTTGCACTCTATTGTGAAGAGTCAAAATGTGTCGAAAAAGGCACGTATGGCAATTCACAATGCTGTGTTGGTCCCTACTTTAATGTATGGTAGTGAAAGTTGGGTGTGGCAGAAGAAGCACGAGAGTAGAATAAACGCAGTAGAAATGCGGTCGTTAAGGAGTATGTTAGGGCTGAATCTGAATGACAGGGTAAGAAATTGTGTAATAAGAGAAGAGTGTGGTTTGCAAGATGATGTGGTGACCAGGATTAAGAAAGGAATGCTTCGGTGGTTTGGTCATGTGGAAAGAATGAATGAGGAAAGAGTGACAAAGAAAATTTGTGGTGCAGAAGTGAATGGCAGAGTCGGAAAGGGACGTCCTAGGCGAAAATTTATCGACCAAATTGGCGATTTATTAAAAACGGCCCAAATTAGGAGTACCCTTAACCGACGAGCATGTATGCGTAGGTGTATGGATGTGAAGGAGGCAAGAGAGGTGTGTCAGGATCGTGCCAAATGGAAGTCTGTAGTCTCTGCCTACCCCTCTGGGTGACAGGCGTGAGTGTTCAAATTAATTATTAACATTTGTATACTAGTGTAAGTAGAAAATAGCATATTCTAGTAATATATGTTACATTCACAATTTGCTCAAAATACCAAATTATTCAATGACAAAAAGTTCTGTTAATCGTTTGTTGGGGATCGTTGAAAATAAATGATGGTATTTATTAATACTTTTACGTGACCCTGTTAAAACTCAGGGTTGGGGTTTTAGTAATGCTTTTTATTAGGTTATTAATTACAATAATATTTAAGAAAACAGGGGATTCTCGTAAGCGATGGATGTTAGGTTTCGACTAACTGTGGTCCCGATGATGGGAATTTCTACTACGCACAATTACTAGAGAACTGTGTTAGCATTTCCAGTTCTAGAACAGTCAAGTGGTATTTACTATTGAATAAAAGTAAATTTACGGAGTTTATCGCAATTATTCCGACAAACGTACCCGAAACGTCGGGAATTAAAAATAAGTAAAATCAGTTAAATAAACGCGATAAAATTCGTAAATTTACTTTTATTCAATGTGTATTGTTCGCTTAAATTTAAGAAATCATTACGGTATTTACTAGTAAGCAATGTTTGTGTGCAATATTATGTAGTAGGGTATAACAAATGGAAGGAATCGTTCTTCATTGGCTGCGTTTGGCAGAAAAAAGCGCTAGCAAGTCCTTGTAGGCAAAATGGCGATCGTAAGCGGTAAGCGCTGTCAAATCGTAAGTCGCTATTTTCCTCTAGGACACGAAGTTAGTTTTAACCGGGGAACCTAACCTAATTTAAATATAACTTTGTAAAGTATTCATATTAAAAACTTACCAATCATGAATTTTTAATAACATGTATATGTTTATTCATGTCATTACATTACTTAAAACTAATATTGCACAAAACTACTTATAAACTCTACTTCAAAACAAACAAATTAAATAAGCAAAATGGCGAATTGTGTCAGCGCTACTGAAGTTAGCAAACGTGTCCTGGCCGAAAACTGTTTAGTTTCAGCCATTTTGCTTACAAGCGCTTGCTAGCGCTTTTTTATACCAAACGCACCCATTGACAAGTGTGTGCGTGGCTCGTGTAGATGGAGGGCGTGGCGGGCGAGTTCGGGTCGCGGCTGGCGGCGGGGCTGGACGCGGCGCGGCGCGTGTGCGTTCGCGGGCAGGCGTGGCGCGTGACGCAGCGCCTGCGCCTCGCTGCCGCCGAACCGCCGCCCGACGCCGCCGACGACTTCGCGCCCAACGGTACAATCCACACCGCTATAGCGCTAAAACACTCTTAAAACAATATATATCAAAACACCCTGTCTATATATAACACACTCAAGTAGCATAAGCCGGCCGGCCGCCTGCCGTGCCGAGCTGCTTATCTATAACTGGTTCCTTTATGTCCACTTTTATGTAAACAATGTACCCATACTTCATACTGTTAATACTATATTTGATATTCTTATTAATAATTATTTGTATAAACTAATGTCAACAGATTGCTCAAAAGTGTCTCAACATCCAGACAAACCCGTAAGGGTTTTTGTGATGTTTATATTGTGGTTTTCCGTTTTTTTTCTTATATAAAATAAATAAAAAAAACAATTTTCATTATAACTGCAGCTATATTATGACTGTATTACGAATTAAATGTTTTAGATAGGACTACGCTCTCACATAATACGATCGTGAAATAGCAGCGTAATGATGGTTATGGTGGGTGTAGAGAACTGGAGACCCTGTTCACTGAAAATGAGATATTCCATCTTACTCCTCAGGGGTAACAACTCATGTGCATTTTAATTCTTAATGAAGGATAGATGTAAATGTCAATAGCCTATAGTACCCACTTAGAATCAGGTACACTGTGTGTTCGTTTGTCACCCTGATTCGATATAAAAAAGAAAAGCTTTTAATATCTATACATTAATACATGAAGGGCTAACTTTATATCACTTTTCGCAATATACTTAATATTACGCATATGGAAAAGTATTAAATTTGGCACGGTTAAAGATTTGATAAAGAAAGGGTGCGGAAAGCTACAATTTATATGTTTGTATTACAACTACATTATATTAAATAAAATTTAACAATGTAAGCAATTTACATTCATTCTACCAATGTCAAACACATAATTTTCGCTTGGACAACATAATATGTTGTTTGTTGACGTTTTTACTACCAAAATTTCAAAGTAAGTACCAAAAAGTATATAATCACTTCATTTAAAGTACATACAAACATTATATATGTTATTACTATAAGGCTGATGTCAAACACTTAATAATCTATGGTTAAATAGTCACACAGAACAAAAATCGTTGCCAACAAATAATTAATACGAGGGTGGATTGAAAAGTGCTCGGCCTAACCAAGAAAATAAACACATACTAAATCAGTTATATTTTTATTTTTCTACATAATCACCATCAAGTTCAATACACTTTTGCCACCTCCCCTTCCAAGCATTTAGACCGTTGAAAAAAAATTATTCTTCCTTAGAGTCAAAATATGCGTCTACAGCTGCTTTGACCTCGTCGTTTGTCGAAAATCTTTGACCTCCCAAGTGGTTTTTTAGGTTAGGGAACAGAAAGAAGTCTGATGGTGCCAGATCAGGTGAATACGGCGAATGCGGTAACAGTTCAAAGCCACAGTTGTGAATTTCAGCCATTGACTGTACTGACGTGTGAACACGGGCGTTATCTTGATGAAACAGGACTTTTCTTCTGAGCATTCCTCGACGTTTTTCTTTTATTTCCTCTCGTAAACGACGTAGTAAGGTGCAGTAGTAATCAGTTTATAGTCTGACCCCTTTCAAGATAATCATAATCACACCTTTCGAGTCCCAGAATACTGAAGCCATCACCTTATTTGCCGACAAAATCGACTTAGCCTTTTTATGGGGTGGTGAACCAGGTCTTCTACACTGTTTTGATTGTTGTTTTGTTTCCGGTGTACAGTAATGAACCCATGTTTCGTCCATAGTAACAAAACGATTCAAAAAATCATCTGCATCAGCTTCAAATAACTCCAAACAGTCGCGTGAAATAGTCAATCGCGTCCTTTTTTTGTTCAACTGAAAGCAGTCGCGGAACCCACCTCGCAGACACCTTGTGGAAACCCAACTCGTTGACAATGATGTATTGAGTTCATTCATAATAGATGCCTATAATCTCGGCTATCTCTCTAATTTTTAATCTGCGGTCTCCCATTATTAAATCAAGTACTTTTTTAATATTTTCGTCAGTAGTTGACGTCGAAGGCCTTCCAGAGCGGGGTTCATCTTTCACACTCTCTCTACCACGCTTAAATTCTGCTATCCATTTTTTGACGGATGAATATGACAGAGCACAATCGCCTAATGTACTGACCATGTCATCATGGATGGCTTTTGATGATAGCCCCTTCTTATGGAGGTACTTAATGACGGCACGCTGCTCGATTTGCTCCATTCGCGGAAATTATGTCCGATTACTTTGTTAATAAATTTATAAAATCACAACTAATTATCGCACACGTTTCGAACTTCACACAATGAACTAGTCTGAACTGAACTAAATAATGTGGGTAGATTTGATTTTTAGAATTGAATGGATCTGTGTTAGGCCGAGTACTTTTCAATCCACCCTCGTAAGAGATTGACTGTATGAGCTGTGAATTTTGGGTGATTTCAAATATTCATTTTTCAATTGTGTGTAGAGTGTATATCAACACAAAAAAGCCTTTATTTATGTTTTTCATATTAAATATATATATACATCTACATAAACACTCACGCCTGTCACACAGAGGGGTAGGCCGAGACTACAGACTTCCATTTGGCACGATCCTGACACACCTCTCTTGCCTCCTTTACATCCATACACCTACGCATACATGCTCGTCGGTTAAGGGTCCTCCTAATTTGGCCCGTTTTCAATAAATCGCCAATTTGGTCGATAAATTTTCGCCTAGGACGTCCCTTTCTGACTCTGCCATTCACTTCTGCACCATAAATTTTCTTTGTCACTCTTTCCTCATTCATTCTTTCCACATGACCAAACCACCGAAGCATTCCTTTCTTAATCCTGGTCACAACATCATCTTGCAAACCACACTCTTCTCTTATTACACAATTTCTTACCCTGTCATTCAGATTCAGCCCTAACATACTCCTTAACGACCGCATTTCTACTGCGTTTATTCTACTCTCGTGCTTCTTCTGCCACACCCAACTTTCAATACCATACGTTAAAGTAGGGACCAACACAGCATTGTGAATTGCCATACGTGCCTTTTTCGGCACATTTTGACTCTTCACAATAGAGTGCAAGGCCCCATTTACTCTATTTCCCGCATTCACTCGTCGTTCTATATCCTTATCATATCTCCCATCCCTGCTAAATACGCAGCCCAAATATACAAACTCATCTACTTGCTCGATCAACTCCCCTTCTATTCTTATTTCACAAATCGTTTTACTTTCTTCTCTTCCAAAAACCATAACCTTTGTCTTACTTGCGTTCACTTTCATACCCCTTTCTTTTAATGATCCGTTCATTAATGTAACCATCATTTGCAACTCGGCCGCCGACGACGCAAGAATAACTTGATCATCGGCGTACAAAAGGCATTTGACGGTTAACTCACCCATTCTTAATCCGCATTCTTCAACTTTCAAATTTTGCAAACAACTGTCCATAAATAGATTGCACAGCCACGGGGAAGCCACACAGCCCTGTCTGACACCTTTATGGATGTCAAACCAGTCCGAGTAGACCCCGTTGATCCTAACACAAGCACTAGAGTCCCTATAAAGAGACTCCAATGCCTGTATCAAGCCAGCGCTCAACCCAAATGAGTTCAGTGTTTGCCATAGCAAATCCCTATCCACTCTGTCATAGGCCTTTTCCAAGTCCATGAACGCACAAAAAACCTTTTGGTTTTTGGCCAGAAACTTCTCCGCGATCATGCGCATGGAAAAGACTTGATCTGTACATCCCATTCCCTTTCTAAATCCCGCTTGCACATCCCAAATTTTTCCATCAGTTTCTTTCATGACCCTTTCAATCAGTACCTTAGCATACAGTTTTCCCACAATGCTAAGAAGGCTGATGCCACGGTAGTTTTTACAGTCCTGCTGCGACCCTATTATGTGTATGCGATATTAAATGTGTGTATTTTATATATTTATCATATTCAATGTGATTTGTTTTTATTCAGGGTACTTTTGTGTATATCAAGATCAAGAATCATTTGAATTCATTAGAAATTGCGCGGAGAAAACACTCTTATCAAGTCTTGAGCAAGAAGACAAACTGCCCTTTCAAGTAAGTCCTTTTGAAGTACACATTTTTAATACTATTCTTTTATTTTCTTTTTTATAATATAATTTTTGAATCCCACATCTGTTTAAGAAGTTGTTAAGTAATGAGTGAAATAATAATTTGTATAACAATTGATAATAGGGTGTTAAAACCATTTTCTGGGTGATTATGAACCACTATAATTTTTTTAAACCTAATAGTGCCATAAAAATTACTTTTAATCTATCGTTTTAAATTTTCCCGTGAAAACACTAGACGCCATGCTGTTCAGCTCGTGATGTCACTACGCTAGTAAATAAAACGATTTTGCAAAGGAAAAAGATATTTTTGTACGTATAAGAATGAGTTATCATCATTATCATTGGTGCGTTATGCCTGAATGCAAAAATACGAGCATAAGAACGCCGGGGAAGTTATGGATTCAAGTGCCAATTGATTTCAATATGAAAAATACTTGTTAGTACTGCCATAAAGAGACCCGAAGACATTGTCTACAAAATCTTGATTTGATGCCTGGATGGCTTAGATTCACCCGGTAGATGTCGAGAACAGAAATCATCAGTGCGAATCCGAGGAGGATCGCTTATTATAGATAAACATAACTTAGTATTATGAAAAGACACTGTCTAACGAAATTTGTTAATCGGTACTAACATTGATGTTTAACATTCCTCAACTCGGCAGAACAAAAATCGGGATTACATGCAAAAAGACTTGTCACCATCAATGTATTTATCCTTGGTAGATTAGTACATTCTGCTTTTACCAATGCCATTTCAATTAAATACGAAAAAAAGTCAACAATCGTCATGATAACTCGAAAATTTTTGAAATAACACACAGCACATTAGCTTGTTTACTATTGAAGTGACGTCACGAGGGATACTAGTGGCGGATAGTGTTTGGACATTTGAGGCACAGATTAAATGAAATATTTTTAAAATTGAAATATAAAATTTATAATGCATTTTCATGAATAGAAATCAACATTTCTCGTTTAATTTTTACAAAACCTATCATAAATACGCATATTTTTATATGATTCAAGATACCTTATTCTACTAACTGACAGATCCTTAATATACCATCATTTAATACCATAATAGCAACACTGCCTATGTCAGAATTAGTAATGATCTTATAAGAAACAATTTTTATTGCTTCAGGGTCTTCCATTGGTGGTGATGTTTGTTCAAGATGAAAATATGGACAAAAAAGAACTTGCAAGGTTGCAGGAAGAGGGTCAAAATCTCGCTGATAAGTAAGTCCCAATCCTTTTGATCAATGAAAGCAAAAAATGAGCGACCACCTGAAGAGGATACTGCTACTGCAGTTTATGGACACTGGAAAACCAAATTTAAACATAGTTGGTTACAGAATATCACTAAAGCATTGTTACTGAGCACTGACCTCCATAGTCTAAACGCAGTTACTGATCGCAGTTACTGACCGGTCAGAAAGTAGTTGGCGGTGTTTCATTCCCGTGCCTCGGAAAGCACGTAAAAGCCTTAGTCCTGCGCCTGATCTCTTCCCGGTCGTGTGCGTCCCATCGGGCTATGATAAAGGTGCACCTGTGCTTGCGCACACACTCGTACAATATAAACCTGCCCTGCGCAAATGACTGGTCTCCGTTGAGACTGGCCGCCGTGCTTTGAGACGGACACCTAGTGAAAAAAAACGAGTGTAGAGACCATACGACTGAAGTAAAACTTCTTTAGCTACAACTATATATATATATATATATATATATTAATTTTCTATAAATATTTAAATTTATTATCGCTTCCTTCCATAATTTGTTATTATTCAGCCGAAAATTCACAAAACATGAAATTTTTAAATGATTCTACAATTTTATTCACTATAAACGTAGAATATTTAATGTATTTAATAAAATATTAATTCATACAATTGTTAAAAACGAAATAAAATTACGAAAAGTAGCTGCTATGAGATAAAGAGAGAAAGAAAATGTGTACGCGCGCTGCTCTCTCTTGCTTATATCCCCACTCAACGCCCGTTCGCCTCACCCGATGACACTTTTCGTAAAGCTTTCGTCACGCATTCGCCAGCTTACTCCCCAAGTCAAGCGTGCATAAAGTATAGTAAAGTTTTACTTCAACCTTAACAACTTTTGTATCTAGATGTCAAATTATTTCTCCTGTAAAGTGTTACCTACCATATACAATCTATAAAATATGGATATCGAACTTATTTTAATGTAAATAACAACACTATTTATTACAGTTTACACTGTTCATATATGGAGGCGTCTGTGAATGAGCTTGGTACAGAGGCGCTAACAGCGGATGCTATACAAGAACTCATAAGGACTAACCGAGAGAAGGCCAGCTATGCTCATCTGTACAGAGATCTCATTGTTTGCTTCGACTCAGATATAAGGTTAGAAGAATTGTATTTGAAATTGTTTTTATCAAATATTTTTGATTAGTTATTTAAACGTGTTACATACAAATTACTTACAGTAAGATTTACTTGTTATCCATATTGAATAAAAATTATTCTTAAAGTTGCAGCCTATATACGTCCCACTACTGGGCACAGGCCTCCCCTCATTTCTAAGAGGGTTTTAGGGCAAGGAAGTGTCCGCCGCGCCGCCCCAATACGTGTTGACGAACTTCAAATGTCTTCGAATTTTTTTCTTATTTCTCAGACATGCCGGTTTCCTCACGATGTTTCCTTCACCGCCGAGCACGTGGTAAATCAGCACTTAAAATTGCAATTAACAATTTAATTGGTGCCGGCGGGGTCGAACCCGGTTTGCTCGCGTACTATGAAATTTACAGCGAGCGTTAACCATCTGAGCTACCACTGCTCATTAAAAAAAAATATTGTACTGTATAAAATACTATCAATTGTCAAATTAATGTTCTAGTTCTGGATTGCTTAAATCACGTCCCACGATTTCTGTGCATTGGCCCAGGAAGCGACTTTTCCTTACGTTTTTTAGATTAAAAATAAGGTAATCTATATTCTAATATATATCTATACGAGAGATATTCAAGTTGTTTATATTATACAAATATTTTAACGCACTGCATTTCTTAATTTTCCTTTCAAATGTAGATAAATTATTTAGTTTCTAATACCCAGTTGTTCTCGTATTTAGGGTTCACTTTTCACTAACTATAGATTTTGTAAATAAAATAACGTCTTACTATGAGGAATGTTTATTGCAAACTGATTCATCACAAAGTCATAAACACATTTTTCACGACGCATAGAAAGTGTACGTATGCATAATTGTAAACACAACACCAGTAGCATATTTCATAATCTGATCGTCTCTGAACGTCTTGTTAAGTTAGATGAGCGAGAACAATAATAATATTCTGTTATCATTCAAACAATCAGAACTGTAGTGTGTGTTTAGTGTATGCTCATGTAGCTATATATATGATAGCCTAATAGAGATTTAGAGTTAGTAATAAACCTACATTCCAAGACCAGTACACGTATTATTTATTCCCAGAACCTCCCGACATTACAGAACTTTTAATGAAGATTTTTAGAATAATTTTGTTCGCATTGTTACTCAAAATCATTAAAAACGCTTGACAAGAATGGGGAATGTTTCGTTAAAATATTGTAAGCTCTTGTAGTATATTTTTTTTATTATTGTTGCAGAATAATGGTGTGTATGTTCTGTGACGATCCATATTCACCGGAACGTGTGCTCAGTCCATTATTGCTGCATAGAGCCTGCTTCCTTACTGGTGATAGGTCTATTGTCATAGAGACATTTCTAGGAGATTCGAAGAGGAAAGTCGAGGTGAGTTCCTGGCATTCTAGTTTATTCAACGCAATATTTCTCTTTATAATTTATAATAGTGAATAATGTTTTTTCTTTTTGTCGACAATATATACGATAGTAAATTTTTCCTATCCGCACAAATATGTTATACATTAAAATTATTGGGTAAATTTTATGTTAAAATTTAAAATTGCTTGCATCTATCTGAGCTTGAACTGACATCATTTACTTTAATGGCTGTAATTTTTTTATTTGCTTGCAATATAATTTGTCCAGCTGTTCAAGCATTACTATTACTGAAGGGCTAACATCCAACAAACGATTTCTCATTTTTAATATAAATAACATACATTCTACCTTAGTAATAAAAATGCACTTTTGTGGTCATTTCTATCCGTGCACCGTCTTTCGTACTGCGGGTGTCGCAAGAGCTGACTATGTCAAATTACCAGAGAAATCGTATGGTTTCTGATAGATGGCGGTGTATCATCTCGTTTACACTGAAATTCCCTGATCAGCGCCGGGGGGCAGTGCGATGATTAGCTCGCATGCAAGTCCTCCCCACTGATCCAAGGAGAAGCGCACTACCGACTGTGGAATTTTACTGGCTAATGATAAAGGAAAATAATAAGACAGCTGGTTGTATTTCTTTATTAACTTATTTTTCCAATTTATGCGGAAAGTATACTACCGGGCTTAGGCCAGGTGTAAGTGCCGGCCAGTCAAAAGCTTTCATAAAATACCTCAACACACTTTTTTATAGCATTGGTTGACAAACGAGAAACACAGTCCACCTGGTGGTAAGTGGATGTGGCCCAAATACATCCACATTAATCCTCTATTAAGGATCAAAATGCAAATGCGTTATCATCCCTGAGGACTAAGATGGAATGCCTCGGTTCCAGTAAAAAGGGGTATCCGGTTCTCTATACTAACCATACGAAACACACCAGCATTACGCTGGTATTCTGTGAGAGCGTGGTCCTGCCCCGGTCGAGCCGACCAATTCCTGCTACAACTATAATATAACTGCAGCGTGGCTCTACCACGTAAAAATCGCTGTAGTATGTCGCGTAATGATCCCAGCAATTCTCTTATAAGAGAGATCTATGTTTTTAATTTTGTTGTTATTGAACCAGATTGTTCGGCATGTTGGTTTCTCTGATTGTATAAGTAATAACTAAAATACATATTTAATAAATAATGATAATTTTTAATAATAATATGTATTTTATTCTTGCAGGTCATTATATCAAGCTTTCATGGTGCTAGTCAATTTAGAGAGGAGTTGATACATGGCTTCATACTCATATACTCCGCTAAGAGGAAAGCAAGCTTAGCCACTCTCAAGTGAGTCCTAATTGCTTTTTGTAAATAAATGCGTTAGAAATTCTTATTCATCATAACCTTCGTGTGAAGTATTGACGTAGAGTTTCTGTTACGGTCCAATAGTGATTAGTTTAGTTTAGTTTACGACGGGCTGTTTTCCGCAACTCCACGTCTAAGCGCGTATTTTGCGTGTGGGCAGGAATAATATGCTTATTCGAGCCATGATATCTCCCCGAAGAAGCTCAGCAGTCCCTTGATGTTGCAAGCAACTTCGGGCGCGATCCCGGCGTGCCGAGATGTTTAACCCTGTACGAAGCGACTTATGGACATATCAGCAACACGTGAGCCGCCGTTTTGTTCCTCTCCCATGCATGCCCTGCACAGGGGGCTGTCAGTAACACCTATGGTGAACAAATGTTTGTTAAAAGAGCCATGTCCTGTGATAGCACTTGTTACTATCCTGATCTGTGGCTTGTTCAGTCTCATTAGAACCTTGGTTAGACGACTGTTTATTTCAGGTAGGGCCCCTCCCAAGCTTGTCTACAGTCTACTAAATTTTTCCAAAGCATTTTTCCAAAGCTGAGCGTGTAAATTATTGAAGTATCTACATACCAGTGAACGAACGTAGCCAAAGGGGATTGGTATTATTGGTTCCGGCCCTATAGTTGACTAGGGCCGATCCCCTTCTGGCAAGTTCATCTGCTGCATCGTTGCCTCTAGATCCACTATGTCCCTTGATCCATTGCAGAGTCACATTATTGTGCTTACATACCTCATCCAATCGTTGATGGCACTCGTATATCAGTCCCGAGTTCGTCACATTGCAACTCAGAAGAGCTTGTAGTACCGCCATACTGTCGGTCAGTATTCTGATGGAGAAGTCTTTCACCTTCCTAGCATCTATTGCTATGGCCGCTTGGATGATACCCATGCATTCAGCCTGGAAGACTGTGTTGTGGGTACTCAGCGGTCTGCATATGTGGATATTAAGGTCTTCAGAGAAAGCCCCAGACCCCACACCTTCATTTGTCTTAGAGCCATCCGTGAAAACTATGAGCTCTCTTGGACCCAATCCTTCCAGATGGTCAGTTTCCTTTAATTGTATCCTGTACTTCTTATTGAATACAAATTGTTTTGGAATCCTATCATACTTGGCTTGTAAGATAGGAATTTTTGAGTAAATTCTATCGATTATATCTGTATGGGGGATTCTACTCTTACTTAAAAGATTTAGGGTCTTGAGTCTAATGGCAGCTAAAGTTGCTTCTTGTTGTATATGTAGATGAAGCGGTGTTAGCTCCAGCATAGCCTCCAAAGCTGCTGTTGGTTTAGTCCTTATGCAGCCCGTGGCAGCCATACAAGCTAATCTCTGGTAACGCTGAAGCTTTTGTATAGTGGTGGCTTCATTGGTTTTGGTCCACCATACCAGAGAGCCGTATGTGATCATGGGCCAAATTACAATTTTGTACAGCCACAGTATAATTTTTGGCGTTAAGCCCCATCGTTTGCCAATCATGTTTCTGCATTGCCAGAAAGTTTAACTAGCTTTGCTGATTTTGTTTTCTATGTGTTTGTTCCAGTTAAGTTTACTGTCCAAGGTAAGACCTAGGTATTTTACCTCGGAAGAAAGTTGGAGTTTTGTGCTGAAAAGACTTGGAAGATGATAGTTTAGTTAGTTTAGTTTAGTTTGCGACGGGCTGTTTTCCGCAACTCCACGTCTATGCGCGTATTTTGCGTGTGGGCAGGAATAATGTGATTATTCGAGCCATGAGATCTCCCCGAAGAAGCTCAACAGTCCCTTGATGTTGCATGCAACTTCGGGGAGTGATCCCGGCGTGCCGAGATGTTTAGCCCTGTACGTAGCGACCTTCTTTTCTTCCTCCCCCATACATGCCCTGCACAGGGGACTATCTGTAACACCTATAGTAAATAAATGTTTGTTAAAGGTGCCATGTCCTGTGATAGCACTAGTTACTATCCTGATCTGCGGCTTGTTCAGTCTCATGAGAACTTTGGTTAAGCGACTGTTTATTACAGGTAGGGCTTCCCTAGCTTGTCTACAGTCTACTAGATTTTTCCAAAGCTGAGCGTGTTGATTAGTGAAGTGTCTACGTACCATTGAACGAACGTTACCAAAGGGGATTGGTATGATTGGTTCCGGCCCTATAGTGGCCAGAGCCGATCCTCTTCTGGCCAGTTCGTCCGCTGCATCGTTGCCTCTGGATCCACTGTGTCCCTTTATCCATTGCAGAGTCACATTGTTGTTTTTACATACCTCATTTAATCGTTGATGGCATTCATATATTAGTCCCGAGTTCACCCCATTGCAACTCAGAGCTTGTAGTACCGCCCTACTGTCGGTCAGTATTCTGATGGGGAAGTCATTAACCTTCCTAGCATCTATTGCTATGGCCGCTTGAATGATACCCATACATTCCGCCTGAAAGACCGTGTTATAGGTACCCAGCGGTGTGCATATGTGAATATTGAGGTCTTCAGAGAAAGCTCCAGAACCTACACCTTCATTTGTTTTAGAACCATCGGTGAAAATTCTAAGCTCTTTTGGGCTTAATCCTTCCGGCTGGCTGTTTTCATTTAATTGTATCTTGTATTTCTTATCGAAAACAAATTGTTTAGGAATCCTATCGTATTTGGCTTGTAGGATAGGAATTTCTGAGTAAATTCTATCAATTATGCCTGTGTGAGGGACACTATTCTTACTCCAAAGATTTAGGGTCTTGAGTCTGATGGCAGCTAAAGTCGCTTCTTGTTGTATATGTAGATGAAGCGGAGTTAGCTCCAGCATCGCTTCCAAGGCTGCTGTTGGCGTAGTTCTTATGCAGCCTGTGGCAGCCATACATGCCAGTCTCTGGTAGCGCTGAAGCTTCTTAATTGTGGTGGCTTCATTGGTCTTGGTCCACCATACCAGAGCGCCGTATGTGATCATGGGCCGGATTACAGTTTTGTAAAGCCACAGTATGATTTTTGGCGTCAGTCCCCATCTTTTGCCAATCATGTTTCTGCATTGCCAGAAAGTTATACTAGCTTTGTTGATTTTGTTTTCTATGTGTTTATTCCAGTTAAGTTTGCTGTCCAATGTAAGACCTAAATATTTTACCTCAGAGGATAGCTGGAGTTTTGTGCTGAAAAGACTTGGAAGATGATAGTTATTCAGCATTCGTTTTTGTGTGAACATTACTAAAACCGTTTTATTTGGGTTGACGGTTAAGTCGTATTCTCTGCACCATCTCTCCACTATACGGAGAGCCGCTTGGGTCAGGTCGCACACTATGCTAGCTGTCTTTCCCGAGACCAGTATAGTCAGGTCATCAGCATAACCTACTGTATAAAAGTGATTAGTATTTAATTTGCTGATGAGTTCATTAATGACCATATTCCACAGGAGAGGTGAGAGGACCCCACCCTGCGGGCAACCTTTCTTAATTAGGATTGGTTGAGATTCACCAGCAATCTTTATTATTCGTGTACTGAGCATGCAAACTATCCAGTCGATCAGTGCCGATTCAACTTTATGTCTACTGAGTGCACCTTTTATGCTGGAGAAGTTTGTTCTGTCAAAAGCACCTTCTATATCTATGAAGGAACCTAGACATATTTCTTTGTTTTGGATGGCCCCTTCAATCTTTGTAATTACCTGATGAAGTGCCGATTCTGTTGATTTGCCTAGACTGTAGGCGTGTTGCTTGTCGTGTAGTGGTAAGTTCATTAGCGCCGACCCCCTTAATTCCCTTTCACACATCCTCTCCATTGTCTTTAGGAGAAAGGATGTGAGGCTAATGGGCCTGTAGGATTTAGGGTCAGTGTAATCGCTCTTACCTGGTTTGGGTATAAATGTGATTTTCACTTCCCTCCATCCCCTAGGAACATATTTTAGAGCCAGACAGGCTCTCATTATGGCAAAAAGTCTGACTATTAGGGCTTTACCCCCCACTGTAGGAGTGCCGGGAATATGCCGTCAGGTCCTGCCGCCTTATAGGGGGAGGAAACTGTGAATGGCCCAATGGATTTTGTCCATCGTTACCACTCTCTGTGCTAAATTCCAGTCTTCTACTGTTGGTGTCAGTATGTCGTCATGCCGGTTTGCCTCCTGGGTTAAGCAGCAACCTGGGAAGTGCGTTTTAATTAGGATGCGTTGGGCTTCATCCGGCGATGTTGAGTAGCTACCGTCGGGTTTCTTTAGAGACATGGATCCCGACGTGTTCTGTTTAGCTAGAATATTCCTTATCCTATTTGCTTGTTTGCAGGTTTCTATGTTGCCACAGAATTTACGCCACCCAGTCGAGCGTCGATACCTGATACATTTTTTGTATTCAGACTTAGCTTTCTTATATAGTAGCCAGTCTTCATCCATTGAGGTATTCATGGCCCTGTTTAGGGCTTTTCTTACCTTCTTACGTTTCCTATCGAGTTCAACACCCCACCACTGTTGCTTTACCTCGGCATGCCTTGGTGGAGTGATTTCTGGACATGATTCATGGTAGCTATCTATCATGGCCTTAGTAACAGCTGCTACCTGTTCTTCTAGGAGCGACTGATCTGCTATAGTATTTATCCCCTCAGAACCCGCGAGCGAAGACGTCAACTTATTTAGGTATTTTGTTTTATCCGTCTTGCGGGGATTTCTCCATGGTGGTGTAGAGGGGATATCGACCTGTAGTGAGTGCGAAGCAGATCCATCTATGGTCTGAGCATGAGGCCTCTTTCGACACATGCCATCCCGTAATTAGTTTGGCTGCTCCTTCTGTTGCAAGTGTGAGGTCGATTATAGTGCGACAGCGTTTATTTATGAAAGTAGGTTCAGAATCTATGTTTAAAATGGTTAGGTTAGTACTAAATAAATATTCAACTAAAACCTTACCTCGTTAATTAGGTTTTTCCATTCCCCAAAGGGGATGATGTGCGTTGGAGTCCGTCCCGATCACAACCTCTAGTCCGGTCCTCTCGCAGAAGTTCACCAGCCTGCCGAGGTCATGAGGGGGGAGGAGTGTCTTCCTCCGGCA